ATCATCTTCTTCTTTTATGACAGACCACGAGGTATTTTTGATGGGATGGGGTGTTGAGGATGGTGTTGAATTTTTCATTATAAGAAACTCTTGGTCTACTGGGTGGGGTGAGTACAACAACTACATCAGAATCAAAACAACCAACCTGTGCGGAATTGGGTGGAGAATAGGAGACTATGTGTATCCCCTTAATATGGTTGTGTTTGCAAACACATGCATTTTGGACAAACATTGTGAAAGTTGCAATATGAATACTCACAAGTGCAGCGCGTGTAAAAGCGGATATACACTTAATTCCTATAATAGATGCGTGGCAAAAACAGTCAAAGTTGGAAAGTTGTACGATTGCGAATGGACAAGTTGCAATCAGACCAAAAACTAAATTACCCAAACTATTTTTTTAATATGTCTTTTTTATAATATAGTAGTATTGAAGACATGAATTCAACGACTTCCTTCACTTAACAGGTTAGATTTTTACCTTGTAATTATTTTAAAAGGGAGAAGTAATAAAAGGCAAATTTTAGTTTGGTTTAAAAAAAATAAAAAAGAAAACCTGTTAACAGGTTTTATTTTTTGTGTTTTTTTTCTGCACAGTTATTTCACCACAAAATCAATAATTCCACAAAAATATTATATTATTAGTGAATTAATATTTTATATTTATTTAATTATAAAACAATTAATTACTTTTATTTAATTAAATATAGTTATTAATGTCATTATTAATCTTTGTTTTGCAAAAAGAACATAAAAACAAAATAAATTGTGAGAAAAATAAGACTTTGGACGATTATCAGGATGAATTGGTTTCAGACGACGAAGACGAAGTTTTCCAGAAATTAACAGTCGATGTAGACCACTTGGACATATCCATGATACTTAAAAAGGAAAAGATTAATGATCAAATTGAAGAACAGGAAATATCACTGTCATTAATTCCCTCGACACAACGTTTATTAACTTCACAAGATTCATTTTGTCCAAATCCACAATCCGTAAATAACTCTTCAACGACAATTCCAAATACACAAACGCGAATTTCACTAGAAACCGTTTGAATGGATTATTTAATTTATAAATTATATCATTTAATTTGTTTTGTTTTTTATTTTTTTGATTTCTCAAAAATAGTCAAATCCATGTTCAGAAATGGATTGGTCAAAAAAAGACAAGACAAACGATTTTTTGATTATGAAAAGTTTAAAAATGAATGTCGAAATTTAAAATAGATTTTGGATGAAACAGTTTTAAAATCACCAACCAATTTGTTTCAACATTTTTTTCATTGGATATGATGATGATAATTGTTGAGGGTATAAACCAAAAATCCCGAGAAGATACTAAAAAATTTTCAGTTTTTTCCCCAACCAATAAAAATGAAGTTTTAGCTTTTATAGGGGTGCTTATTTATTTGGCCAGTATTCGTTGGCAAAACTCTTTGGATGATACTTTTGACGAAGAAATTGGAGTGGATTTTGTAAAAACTTGTTTTCAAAAAACACGTTTCGCCCAACTTTTAGATACTTTCGTTGTGACAACAAAGAACGAAGAGTGGAACTTCTAAAAAAGGGAGAACATCAAGTTGGAATTTTTGAAATTACAAAAATTTTCGAAAAAAATTTGCAAAATGTGTGTTATCCCGGAGAGTTGCTTTGTATAGACGAAAGAATGTGCAAATTTCTTGGGCGTGCTCATGATGTTATTTTTAACCCAATGAAACCAATTCGACGAGGTTTTGAATACATTCTGATAGTAGATACAAAAACTGGGCGTTTGTGTCAACATGTTCCAATATTAACAAGGGTGTATTGAAAGGGGATGGTCACGTCGGGAGAAAT